ACCCCTCAGTACAAGACAAACCAGGACAGATGATCACCTTAGATCATAGAGGTGAAAACACAGAGAAAGGGCAAAAAGAGAGAGGCGCCGTCCAAAAGGAAAGCAGATCAGGCTGCCCCAAGTCCTTTCCTGGAAGAAGCGTGTGAGTCCGAGCTGAACCCAGCCTTCCATCAGTGCTCAGGAGCTGCCGGGTTTCTTGGGAGGGAATGGCATCTCCCCACCTTTTCTTCCTGGAGAAGCCAGGGCACCCCCAGAGGAGGGTGCTCAGACTGAGCGTGTGAGAGGACTCCCTGGGCTAACGCTGCACATGCACTCCTGGCCTGAAATATCTGCTTGCCCCATCCAGCATGATGCTATGATGAGTTCTGAGCAGGCTACCGGAATGTACTCCAATCCCAGTTCTGCCATGTGGGTGCTGTGGAATCCGGGCTGACTCCCTTGCTGCTTGGAGCTTAGATTTCTAAAGCAGAGTTAGTAACTATGAATTTTGCCTGTCCAGTATACTTTGTCATCCCCCTTTTTCTGTTTCCTTTAGGGAACTCCTCTCCTATAATATGTGGTCTTGGTGGGGCTGTTAGTCATAATACCCTTCTCTTCTCAACTCCTCACAGTTGGGTGTGTGCCCCAGATGGGGCCAATTATAGTACTATAGTCTCCAGACACTGACTGGTTCAAGGGTGGGCATGAACTTAAACCCTGAACTTTCCTGTTGGCTCTAGTAGAGAAGGCTGTCTCCCTTTAGAAACTGCAGAGTGTAAGCGTGGATCTGCTGGCTACAGCTTTCCTGTAGGCAGAGAAATCCTGTCTGGTGCAGGAAAGGAGGAGAGAGGAAAGCAAAACTAAGAGAAGACAGAGAGGGAAAGACAAGAGTCCCACTTGAGACTCTTGATCCAGCCATACCTGCAGCAGTCACCTTTGTACTTCCTATTTACATGAACCTGTACATTCCTTTTTTGCTTCAGTCAGTTTGTGTAGAGTTTTTGTTACTTGCACCTGAATCCTCACCAATACAATTTCTTTATCTGTAAAAATGAATATAATTCTTTGCAGGACCCTTGTGACATACTTTATTATTCTTGTTGTTACTGTCATTATTAAATGAGATCACAAGTGTGAAAGAGATTTCAAAATTAGTAAAATATCATATACAGCCCTTGTGCATTGCTGGTGGGAATGTAAAATAGCACAACCACTGTGGAAACAGTTTGGCAGTTCCTCAAATGATTAAAAACGGAGTTACCATATGACCCAGAAATTCTACTCCTAGGTATATATCCCCCAAAATTGAAAACATATGATCACAGAGAACTACACTTGATATCTTACAATAATCTATAAGGGGAAATAATCTGAAAAAGAATAGATTATATCTATATCGATACAGATGTAGCTGAATCACTTTGCTTTAAACCTGAAACTAACACAACATTGTAAACCAACTATACTTCAATTTTTAAAAAAGAAAATATATGTCACACAAAAATTTGTACACAAATGTTCATAGCAGTATCATTCATAATAGTCAAAAAGTGGAAACAACCAAATATCCCTCACCTGATAAATGGATAAACAGAATGTGATATAGCCATATAATGGAATGTTATTTGGCAATAAAAAGGAGCAAAATGCCGATAATGCTAGAGTATGGCTGAACCTTGGGAACATTATGCTAAGTCACAGATTTAGACACAGTAGGCCACATACTGTATGATCCATTTACACAGTGTCCAGAATAGACAAAGCCACAAGACAGAAAGCAGAGACAAGTGGTTGACAGGGCCTGGGCTGAGGAAATTGAGAGTGGCTATTAATGATTAGTGTCTTTTCAGGGTGATGAGAATGTTCTGAAATTAGTAGTAAGAGCTGCACAACCTTTGGAATATGTTGGGTTGGCCAGAAAGTTTGTTCAGATTTTTCCATAATATGAAATCCAAACTCAATGCTAAAAAATGCTGAACTGAATAGCAAGTATTATAGTTGTGAATTACATCTCAGTAAAAAAATAAACAAACATGCCAAGGACATATAAAGGATGAAATTACTTTATTTAACTCAAATCCCAGCTTCCATAAAGCCCTTCATCCGATTCTCTGGTCTTCTCCAGACTGAATGTGGATCTTACATTTGTGTGATTTACATAATGTTCAATGATCATTAAAAAATAAATGATTTAAACAAATGATTAAATAAGTAATGATTATGTCAGTAAATACAAGGTTATGTCTTTTTTGATTTATTATTACAGAAAAGTATTCATAGAAAATTAATTTTTTTTAACATTTTTGTTTTCTATTGAAGTATAGTTGATAAACAATGTTATATTAATTTCAGGTATACAGCAAAGTGACTCATTTACACATGTATTTATTCTTTTTCAAGTTCTTTTCCCATTTAGGTTATTGCAAAATATTGAGCAGAGTTTCCTGTGCTGCACAGTAGTTCCTTGTTGGTTATCTATTTTAAATAAAGCAGTGTGTACATGTCAAGCCCAAACTCCCAATCTAGCCGTCCTCCCATTCTTCCACCCACCAACCCACGCTCAGTAACCATAAATTCATTCTCTAAATATGTGAATCTGTTTCTGTTTTGTAAATAAGTTCATTTGTATCATTTTTTTAAAAGAGTCCTCATATAAGTGGTATCATATATTTGTCTACCAGGTTATGTCTTGTCTTCTCAGCTTCTCTTGTTTGACTTGCAGGGCCAGAGGGCAGAGTAGACACTTAAGTCAGTGTTGAAAGAATAAATGAGGACACATTTCCCCCCTACCACGTCATCATCCTAGATTAACACAAAGGCACCCATCATGTATTCAGAACCTGCATGCCCCTGATGAAGACAGTGTGAGTTAATGAATGGCAGAATCATTATCTGAAGAGAGAGTCCCTTCAACAAATCTGGGAGCAAAGTCCTCAGCCCATTCCACAGCAGAGTGACCATGGTGCTTATCAGGACTCCCTGATCTCAGGAAAAGTTCTTTGCAAATGTTCCAGGCAATTCCCATGCTCTTGGAATTTGAGAACACTAAGGAAAGTGTGAATCTGTGGGAGATGGGGAAGTGGTTTACAGCCTTCGGGAGAGCTGTTATCAGGATACTCTAGGTTCAAAGCATCCGGACTTAAACCAGCCCTAAACAATAAAGGGGATTCATTGGTCAAACAACTGGAAAGTGCTCAGGGTTGTGGACTGAGAGGGTGACTTGATTCAGGGGTCCAACAAGACCCTCCGGGACTTTGGTTTCTCCATCTTGTCATCCAGCCTCATCCCAAGGCCAGATCTTCTTCCCAGACCCACCTGGATCCCCATCAATTTCCAGACCCTCCAGCTGGGAGGCAGGAGGCAGCGGTAGGAGAGAAAATACTTACTTACCTAGTTCATTCTAAGGGCTCTTTTAGAAGAGCAAGAATGCTTATTTCCCAGAAAAGCTTCTTCCTTTTATCATGCTGCCGTTTCTTAAACTATGGCTGGGGATGGCAATATACTGATTCATTTCAGCCTAAACCACATGCCTCCCCCAACACATGTGCAAACACACACACACACACCAGAGAAAGAGAGAGAATGAGCTTCCTCCAAAGACTGGCTGAATGGCAGAGGTGAGGATGCCAGAATAAAAACCAGGGTAGCTAGCAAGAGGATAGGGACATTACGGTGGCGGGCATAATACCCACTACTATTCTTGTGTGAATCTGGGCCTTCTTAAAACCCACTTCATTCTCTGGAACCTAGCCTAAATGTCACCTCCTCTGAGAAACCTTCTGATCCCTCTCAGTCAGAATCCCCACTCTATGCACCCACATACCATCTGCCCTCATCCACCCATCTATTCATCCATTCATCCACCCATTTACTATGTTCCTGGGGTGCTGAGGGCTAAGTGCTCAGTGTGACCCAGAGATTTCTACCTTAATAATGTTTTCAGTCTGGGCAGGGAGGGAAGAGTGAATCAAACAATTGCACTAATTAGTGTCAAGCTTTTCTACTAAGTTCAATGAAAAAGATATGAGTGGGGAAGAATGAGCATGTATCTGGGGACCTGAACTGCTGAGGATGGGGGGGGCGGGGGTCGAGGGAAGGTTTTTCTGAGAAAGTCAGGTGGGACCTCTACTCTAGTTTTCAAAACACTGGCCATCCTACCCTCTGCCTCAGATGTCTCCCTTTCTAGGAAGGCCAGCCTCCACACCCACGGGTTGTGGTCCAGGGTCTGATTTAAAGCTTGTGCAAAAAATGTGCATTGAATTTAACTGTCAGTGAGTGATTAGAAGCGCTGGGAAGGAAGGTAGCTGGGTTCCAAAGAAGAGCTTCGCTGTTACGGTAACAGTGGGCACAGGGTCCTCCTGGATGCTTTGGAATGTCTCAGGCGTGCGAGGAGGGCACCGTGGAGGTAGAGGGGGGATCTGCATTTATTCCAGGGTCAGGAGAAAAACCGTGGCTTTGCATTCCAAGCCCCAGGGTACAGGAGAGCAGGGGAGTGTCTCAGAATGGACGTTGTAGGAACATCCACTCCTCTGGGCCAAGAGAGACCCGAGTCATGGCCCTAGGTCACCTGAGGTACCCCTCTGAGCTTTCTGAAGCCCCTTCCTCTGGGACGTGGGACTGTGAGTCACTTCTAAACAGACTGAATTCGGTGGTGGTGGTGTGGAGGGAGGCACGGCGCTGACGAGGTGGTTCCCAGGAGCGGTGGTTCTCTGGAATTGTCTCCTACGGCAGGAGTGGGGTGGGGGCAGAAGAAGAAATCTGGAGACGCGTCGAGGCCGCAGCCGGCCGCTTGCCCAGGTGGCAGAGGGGCCGAGACTGGACCGCAGCCAGAGCCCCGCGGTGTCCTGACGCCCCTCCCCGCCGCTCCAGCCCTCCCACTTCCTCTGAAGGAGCCGCGGCTGTCAGGGAACCGGGCGCCGCGCGCAGTGCAGGCTCGGGGCGCCGCGCAGAGGAGGCTGCCGCTCTGGCTCGCCGCCCCCCGCCGCCGCTCCGCACCGGGCCCCGCCGCCGCGCCGCGGGCCATGGACCTGCCCAGGGGCCTCCTGGTGGCCTGGGCCCTCAGCCTGTGGCCAGGTACGTCCCCCTGTTAACCCTCACCCTGGCCTCCGGGAGCCCCTCCCTGACCCACCGAGGTCTGGGGTCCGGCGGCCAGGAGCCCGTCGCGGTGCGCTCCCAGGGTCCGACCTCCGCGGCTTTTGGGGACGTGGGTCCCCCGGGAAGTGGCTGCCGTCAAGCGGCTCGCCAAGTTCTACACAGGAGGGAGGCGCGCCGAGGCGGCCTGGACCGGGGACTTTGGTGTGTTTGGGAAGAGTTGAAGAGGCTCGAGTTGAAAAGCGCCGAGGGCCGGTGGCCCCTCCGGGCGCTCTGCTTTTCTCCAAGGGCCCCACCGAGCTTCCCGCACCGCCACGGCGGGCACTCGGGGTCCCGCCAGCGCCGAGGCTCGCGGAGGCAGCATCCCTAAGAGCCGGGAGCTGGGTGCGGCGGTCCAGGGGAAGGAGGGTGCTGGGGGAGACCTGGAGCTGAAAGCCGCCCAGAGTCCCTCGGGCCTGGACGGAGCGAAGCCTTGGGGCGGTCGGCGCCCAGGCTGTGGCGAGCAGTCGGTGGCCGAGCCAAAGGCGGTGGGGCGCCGCTGGGCAGTCCAGGGCCCCCCGAAAACGTTACCTGACCCTCGAAGTAGGGACGGGCCATCGCCCGTCAACCCGCGCTCAGAATTGTGCGCTCATTCAATAAAGCTGGGGACGGCGGTCGTCGTGCGCCGCAGCCTAATGCGCTCCAGGTGTCCGGGCGCGGTAGGGACCCCGGGCCGGCGGGGCGAGCGGCCCGGAGCGAAAAGCCACTCTGGGCTCTCCGCACCGGGGCACCCGGCCGGGGAGTCCCCACACCTGACATCCTGGTGAGACCCGCCACTCCGGGGCGGCAGACAGAGGCGCTGTTCTACAAATCCAGAAAGCTTGCAGGACCCCTCCTTGGCGTGGCCCAGTGCTCTGGCAGGGACCGGTGCCTCCGGGACTGGCCGCTGGGCCTAGCCTCCTCTTCTGCGTGGGCTCCAGATCCGGGATGGGCCAGTAGTGAGAGTCAGATGCGATGGCAGGGGGAGAGGCGCCCTCAAAGAGCACAGGTGGAGAGCCCCCAGCCCAAGGAACTTCACCCCAGTCCCGGGATACCACTGGAAACACTGTACACCCTTGTGGCCGTCTGTAGTGGAGCTTCTGCAGTTGAAAGGGCCTCTGCTGGTGGGGTGCAGTTCAGATCCTAGAGTCACAGCTGAAAACAAACATAGATGCTTTAAGCTGGGGAGGAGGGAGAGTTGGGAACAGCAGGGGAAGAGCTGGAACCAGGCAAGCATATATCTAGAAACCAGCTGATGGAAGCAGAGGTGAAGCCCTCTCTAGGTCATTTAGGCAAGAGGGGAACTCTAGGAACTGCCTTCAAGTCACCAGCAGATCCAGCCACTGGAAAAGGGAATGCACTCCTGTGTGATCCCAGATACGTGGGCCTGTCAGAACTTGAGTTGAAGTAGATGCTTTATGGGGCTGCTCAGGTGCTGCAGTTGTGAAGAATCCACCTGCAATGCAGGACATGGAGGAGACATGGTTTCAATCCCTGGGTTGGGAAGATCCCCTGGAGTATGAAATGGTAACCCACACCTGTATTTTTGCCTGGAGAATCCCATGGACAGAGGAGCCTGGGGGGCTACAGTCCACGGGGTTCCAAAGAGTTGGACATGACTGAGCAGTTGAGCCCACACACAACTGCTTTATAGGCTAGAGACTTCAGGATACCAGAGGCAAAGCCTTTGAAATCAGTCTTAGCTTCCCATCTGGCTCTGCCTCCTACCTTAGGCAGGTTATACAGTCTCTCCAACAGGTTTCCTCCTCTGTGAATGGAGATAGAAATTCTGAGTGGTTGGCATGATTAAGTGAGGCTGCACCGTAAGAAAAGTTGTTAATACAGCACTTGGTCAACAGTAGGGTTGAATCAATGGTTGATAATGATAATGGTAAAGCAAGGATGAAGGGGATGGTGGGTAAGGGAGTAGGGTGAAGGACACGGACAGGATTTGTGACTCAGAACTCCCTTTATATGGAGAAAACCACTCCAGAGTTATGTCTGGTCAGTCTGAGTTCTTGAAATATGGGATTCATTAAACATATCAATCAATGTTGGAATGACATCTGCTTGCAAGCAGCTGGGGGTGGGGTCCAAGTATATATGCAGTCTGGGCCCTGCCTGTAGCTGAGAACAAGGTGAGACCAGGGAAAGCGAAACAGATGCACTGGAGAGTGAGTGGCACAGAGATGCTAAGGGCCGCAGTTCAAACAGGGGAAGTTCAATTCTGCTTGAATAAGCAACGGAGGCTTCCTGGAGGAGGAGATAGCATTTGGACTGGGCCTTGAAGGAATTTGTAGAGTGTGGATAGACATTCAAGTGGGACTGTTTGTACATTAGAGTGTCATTTCCTGGAACTACAGTAGTTAAAGAAACCAAAGGTGAGCATTTGAAAACCACCAAGATGACTTTGGTCCATGGGGACTCTGAAGATTAGAAGGGTCACACAGATCATTGGGCCCATCTTCCCAGCTCCAGAACAGGATTGATGTTGATCTCCCATCTGTGCATCACATGGATTCAATGTGAGGGTTACTAGGAAGCTTACCTGCTGGTGATGGCACAGTGTGGCTGGGCAGGAACCTTGTCAAAGGCCAAGCTGGGGTGGGTGGTAGGGGGATGGAAGTCCTCATGAAGTCATTAAGAGTTCAGAGCCTTGATCCTTCCAGAGCTTCTGCTGCAGGCTGGGCAGGGTGATGAAGTGGGCAAAACTATCAAGAAAGCCAGAAAAAAAGTAGACAAGTCCAAAGACATCCACAGCTGACATTCTGAGAGAGCAGACCCACTGAGCAGAACTTCCCTATCATGACCCATCTGGCGATTATGAAAGAGAATATATGAATGAGTCATTTTGCTATACAAGAAATTAGACACAACCTTGTAAATCAACTATACTTTGACAAAATTTTTAAAAATAAAATAAAAATTAATTCCTCCCAGTTTGGAAGCAGAAAAAAAATTTTAAAACCTTAGCCATTACTGAGCACTTGTTACCTGACAGATGATACACAGGGAGACCAGACACAGTGTGGGGCTGAAGGTCCTGGCTTTTCACTGCCCGGAACGGGTCTGACCTCTGATAACTGGGATTCTGTTTCCTTGACAAGTTACTAACCAGCCTTTGTGCCTCAGTTTTCTCATCTGCAAAATGGGGATGATAATATTAATAATAGAACTTAAAGAGTATCCAAAGATGTATAATGTATATTAAGTACTTGAAAAGTTCCAGGCACACATTGAGCATCTAGGAGTTTGTCTTTCTTCTCCAGCATCATCATCATCATTGCTCAAGGTACCAGTCATTGAATAAGGGATTTGAGGATGCAGAGTTGTAACTTTCAAACTCAAATTCGTAAGAGAAGTCTAGAGGAAGTGCTGGGATACTGGCAGCTCAGTGGAAACATGCATACCAGGGCCCTAAATAAACCTGAACTTCTCTTTCCCCAAAGGCCTGGCCCAAAGTCTTGATCATAATGGAAACGTGGGGGAGAAGGGTTGCCATTGAGGCTGTTTTGAGGTCCATGTGATCCTGGAAGGAGGTTTTTGTGTTGTTGACGAGAACCATCCCACACAGATGGCCCTTGTGGGTGGGAAGCCTGTCTCCTCAGCATCCTCACTGTTCCTAGCCCACCCACACAGGGCCATGGGCCCCCGAGGAACTCAGACAGCAACTCACCTTCGTTTTGCCCTCTGTGACCCTCTTCCTCTCCCTCCTGTAGTGATCGCTTCCTCCAGCAACAGGGAACTTCCCTTCCATCCTCTCTATTCACTGCTTAGGACAGAACTATGCACTGGGCTGGACTGGCCTGGCTCTTGATATATAGAAGGGACTTTTGAAAATTCCAAAAGCCCTCTTTGCTCTTCTTAATGCCTGACTTTGGAGATCACTGTCTCACTCTAGCTTTCAGACCCTCCATACAGTGTTCTATCCCAGCTACAAAGAGAAAGGATCCATGAAAGTCCTCCCCAGGCAGTGATAGCCTTTGGCTGACTCAGGGAGGGTCAGCTATGAAGCAAGCTTGAAACGTGCACCAACCCATCTCAAAAACGGTCTCTCTGCTGCCCTTATAGCTTAATGACGCTGCCCGCCCACCACCAAACTGTGGGCTGCCATCAGGAATTCACAGCCATTTGGAACCACTTTCCCTGAAATAATTGTGAGCTCCAAAGTCACCCACATGCCCTCAGTGTGAAGTGCTTGCTCTGGGGAGCTGTGGTCTAGGCGGGACTGTCCCCGCCCTGCCAGGTGAAAGTCCAAAATGTTACCTGCGAGAGGAGAAGGGGAGGAGACTTCAGTTGGTCACCTTGTAAACCAAAAATAAATAAGCTCCCCGCAAAATTTCATGAAGTGTCTTCATGGTGTATACTTACAGTCTTCACAAGATGAATAAAATCCCACCTGGAGGAAAAAGCCAGTGTGGTCAAACATGCCCCCCTCCCACCCCAGCCCCCACCTCTGCCCCTCATTTCCTTTGTCACCTGCACACTTACTGAGCAGGAGTGATGATTAGCATATGTGTGACCTGGGAACCCAACTGAGTTCAAATCCTTTCTGCTTGGGCGACCCTGGATAAGCCCCTCTGAGACTCAATCCTCATGTGTAAAATGGGTAGAATAACAACTTCACAGGCTGATCTATGGTTGATGCGTATCAAGTGTTTGGTACAGTGTCTGGCACCCAGTACTGCCTCAGCCAACAGTAGCAGTTCGTGGATCACCCTTCCCGTCACTCACTCGATCGATACCAGGCACTGTGTCAAACTCTTTCTCACATCTCAGCTAGACCTTGTTGTGGCCACAATCATCAGGTTACACATGAGACATTAATTAGCTCATCCGGGGTCTTGCTGATTGAGTAAGAGGTGGCGTTTGGTGTTTGCCTTTAATCCATGCATAATGTCTCTTCCCTGGTGGCTCAGATGGTAAAGAATCCACCTCCAGTGCAGGACGCCTGGGTTCAGTCC